AAGTCATGTTGCGGGTTGAAAACAACTTGTTCTGAAAGCAAGAAGCCGGTGACCATGCCCCCTTATAGGATACGCTCCCTGTTTATCTATAAATTAAACAGAAAGGTATTTCAACACTACATCTAAAAGCATGTCCGCAATATGCTACATCAACCCTTACAAAAAAAATGTAAGCCGGTCTGTAGGCATCTTAACGCTTTTTTTAACATACCTGTCCACTTCCTATCTTATCGCCATTTTTCTACAAGGTTTCTACAGATTTCCTGTCAACAGGAGTCTACAGAGCACAGTCGTCAGAAATCCCACCAACTGTCTGTCGCCAACGGTCGTTAGACTTTGCGTCGCCATATGCCTAGATTTTCTACAGACCTGACTTGATAGACCATACACACTGAAAACATGACAAAATCGTTGATATGAGTCATAAGCAGGTTTCGTGTGTAGTAAGAAACGCTTTTACAACAGGCTTGAAGTGAGCTACATAGTCACAGGATTTTATTGCCACAAGATCCGGCCCTGATAAACATTTAAAAAGAATCACATAGAGTATATATACATCAATAACGCAGGTTTCCGATCAAACATGCTGTAGGTTGCAGCCTCGACCACTGCGTGCCCTACTTTTAATGTTTAATGTTTCTGTGCTTATTTGTCATTGTCGACGGAGGTGTCAACAAACATAAAGCCGCTGCTTACGCCGCCAACCAAAGTGACTTCTACTCTCAGTTTTACGAGAGTCTATCTCGCTATAAAGTCGTCTATTGGACTCGAATGAAGTCTCGAGAGGGCTGCTTCGACTGCCAGTGCACATGTCATCAGTGTAGGCAGAGCAACGAAGTAGCAATCGCGACGCGAGAGCATACTGCGCCACCATGTGGCCGGCCGCGCTCGCTCTGCGGAAATGTGAGCGTGGGACTCTCGAGCCCCGTTAGCTTTCTGAAGTTGGAAGACGCTACATTGTCGTCGCGATTCCTTTGCCCTTCGAACGGTCGCGAAGCAGTTGCGCCCGGCGTCCTCTACGCAGCATCTTTCCGAAATTGTTAGCGCAGCATCGCAACCTTCCGTCAGCGAGCTTCGGCGACTCATCGTCTGCTGAAAGTCGGACGATGTGCTGTCCGTGGTGTCTTTTATGTGTTACTCTTTCGTAAAAAAAAATTGAAGTTTTAAAACGCGAACCTAACAGTGTACAAATAATTTTTAATTTATTGCTAACATATATATATATATTTATTTATTTGTTAATATAATGTGAGTTATACGACGTAAAACATAGTGTCTTCAAACTAGAATCAAACTAGAAAGTAGTTTAGAATCACTCTTGGGCTAGACAACTTCTTTAGAAATTCAAAAGCTGGCCTTCAAAGAGCTGTCCTGTTCAATCGGTATTGACAGCAGGGTAGACGCTATGCGTGTTTTAGGCCAATCGTGTCTCCGGTTAGGGTCACGTGACTACAGTCTCGAAGCTGGTAATAAGGCAGAGCACGGAACCTGACTAAAAGCCCAAGGCCACGCATAACATCCACTGCATTATCAACCTTGGGTACAAGTGACAAATCCTCCCGTTGTGTTCATTGTTGAGATGGCCCTGACGATTAGCCTCTGTAAGCGCACCCCCCGTTCTCTGCTGCTTCCTTTCTACTTCTTTCTTTTTTTCTCTCTCTCTAAGCTGAAGGCGTAGTAGACGGTGCGTATTCGCCGGACAAAAAGACCCTTTCATTTCAGTAGTTGGCTAACCGTCGGGTAGAGGGCGCTAACGCATTCGCCGCCATGAGGTTGCTTCAAACTGGGTTGTTTCGGTTTCAACGCGCATGCGATTGTGTTGCTGTTTCATGCCATTTTCGATTAATTTTGTGATACAAATTTCTTGCTTGAGGCACACAGCGAATGGCACAATGGTACTGAGTCACTTGGATAGCCATGATGTGGTTTCGAGCCTAACTTGCAATCACTTTCACAAACCCCAGATGCGTCTGATTACGTCCAATCGTCAATTTCGTCCAGGTTCGGCAGTGAAACAGCTGTTCTGGTGCAAAGAGAGGATTACCGTCGCCCACGGCCGTACCCGCGGACACTAGTTGCTACAAAGATAAATAAATAAAGAGCAGGAGAGGCTCCGCCTCCAGCGCGCGCTTCCTGCCTGCCGCCGGGCTTTGGGTGCGCGTGCACATAGTGGTATGAAAGGGCTCGAGCTCAAGCCAGAGATATGACTGCTCACCTAATATTGTAACATACAAAAATGCACGAGTGCTTAGTGAAGAAGGAGGTCCACAACATGATTAACAATGTGCTGAATCGCGAAAAACAGGTGAAGTGACGAGTTTACGTTTTGAGTTTCGTAGACCAACTTTATGTGAACTTCGCAGATTGAAGAAGTCGCCTACAATGACGTAGATAGTATAAAAAGGTGTTTTTCTCTCGGCCTGTTATATTTAAATAAATAAAGTTCTCGAGAAATATTGTAATAGACCAACCTAGGCCGACTAGAAAATTTATTTAACTAAAGTACTCATTAACAAGATTGCGCAATAATAACTTTTGAAATAGACTACGGTGAAGACCTATTTTTTGTGGGCTCAATATTTCGCGATTTAGGTCAAAGCTGAAATTTTGGAATAAATCGCGGGTTCTAATTTTTTCCACGCGGTGGGATCTCCATATAGATTCTAATGTGTTTACATTTTACCGGGACCTATTTTTCGCAAATTGTAGGTGAATCGCAAAATTCGCGAAAATTAGGTCGTCGCGAAAATGAAGTCGTTTACAGTATTTGCTATACGGGGACTTGATTACGACGTTCTCAAGGTAATAAATAAGTGACAGGGCCCTCAAATGAAGTGTGGCATTTATCGCCCGTAAAATTTGCCAAATGAAATTAAAGGCCACAAAAGAAGTGATGAAGTCGAGCGCCAGGGGGCACCACACCATGGATTTGAGTCGAAAGCTCTTTACTGGTTTGGACCGATGCGCTTTGTAGATTACGGCGTCGCCAGCTACTAAAATCCATATTCCCCGTTGACAACGTTACATTCGTGCGATTTTCATGAAGACGGATTCTTTTCGGCGTCACATATTGTGGGCCCCAGGAACTCTCAAGTTGTCTGTGACAGTTTCTTATGTGGGAAGTCAAAACCTTTGTGTTGAAATGAATTAATCGAATTGAACCGGTTATCTTAAAAAATCGCTTAACAATTAAAATACTGCACACATAGGACTATTTAAACAAAGTATACATTTTTTTAGAATTCATAAACAAACCGATCGAGTAAATGTTTATATAGCAAAAACGATTAAGAACGTCAAACATATGGAGGTGTGTTATTGTAAACAAACAAATGGCCTGATGTTGACGTATTATTATTTCTAGCATCAGAAAAAAAAATTTAATGAAGCTTTTGTTCCCTATTTTGTCCATAAGTTCACCTATATGATCAAAATCCACTGTTTTCGATATGTTATAAATATACGTGATTATTCACAGTGAGTATTTTCTCACCTTCCTTGAGATCCTAAATGCGCGATCATGTATACGTTTACATTGTGCTTTCTATTGGGATTGTTCCGCCACTATAAGTAAGCGAACATGAGTTATTATAAGTTATTGTCCTTTGAACCCTTGTGCTGTCTTAGAATCATATATGTGGTGAATGTGCGTGAGCGTTAACGTTGATTCATGTGCCAATATAACTTCCACCCATGTAGCCGGCACACCGATGGCAAAAATAGTCAAAACGTCACCGCAAATTAACTTCATAAATTGTGAACATAATAATGTAATGGTAAATGGTAAATGTATAAGTGTCGGACGACACTTTAGGGAGTGAGGTGAGAAACGCGGTGAAACGCGACAAAAGAAACGAATTCAACGCATCTGCCAAGACGCCGAGTAGCGCGGAGGGGAGAGCGGAGCGACGAATTGAAGCAACCTAATGGCGGCCGCATCACGTGACTCCAAGATGGCAGCGCCCATGTGGCTGAGGGTGAAAAGGTCTATACTTTTTATCGCTTGAATCCTCCCTCTGTGCGCGGGTAAAGGCAGAAGCGCGATCACGTGGTTTGACGGATGACGCATTAGCCTTTGACAAACCCGGAACGCCTGCGAAGACCGGACCTAGCTTCGCGGGTGATGCGGCCTGCGGGCCAGCTGTGGATTTGGCTTCTGTGGTAATTTGTAAATGTGGTTAATCTAGTTCTAGAGTTCCGATCACCAGCAGCGCATTTCGTCTTAGTGCCAAGTGCGATCTTCAACATGCGGATTGCCCAGACCATGGATATTCTTTCGGCAGCGCCTACACACCGGTGATCTTCCTTTGTTGTGGGCATACATGTGCCCACTAGCTTCGACGGTTCGACGGACCGAAGACACGACGGACCGCCTTCTCTTCCATGTGAGTGACAAGGAGAAGCCCTCCTGACCATTTGGGATCGGTATTCTTGCTACGCAATGTACGTTTTGTCACTATCCGATGCGTTTGAACCCTGTCGAACTCTGTGCCAAGAATCTCCGACGAGTTCAACCTGTAATCCACAGCGATTGTCCCGAAAGGCACTGTACAGCGCTATTTGTAAGTGCTTTTTCCGCCCTCAAGTCAAAAATTAAAAAGTTGCCTTTCCTCCGTCTGGCGTACCCAAATTCGCCGACCCAGGTTGCCCGCTGACCATAGTTGCCAGACTATCGCTAGTCCGGCGGGTGTTGAGGGAAAGGGTGAAGATTGCAACGAAGAGAAGGGAAGGAGGCGGAGGAGGAAATGCGTGAACAGAGAGAGAGGATATAAATAGAGGGGGAGGGGGGGGAGGAGGAAGCCTGCGGGGGAGCGTAGCGCGTTTTCTCCGCCGCCAGCGTCCGGTCGCTGGTGTCGTCGCGGTACTGGCGGTACCAGACCGCTTCTCTACCTGCCGGACGAGTGGACCCTGGCGTCTTTACGCTGGTTCCAATATTGTCGGATCCCCGAGCACTGCTCGACTTCTGCCGAATGTACGGCCTGAGCCCCGTCCCGCCGCCTCAGCCCACACCGGACTCCGCACCCCGTCGACGCGGAAGACCTGCCGCTACTGATGAACTTTGGGGCACCTGCGGAGTGCTCGGCTTCAACCCCAAGGCTCCGAACTGCGGTGGTTCGGTCGTCACGCGTTTTCGGGAAAACCCGAAGGGCGCACGTCCAACTTTCCGGTGCGGCTCCTGCAGGAAGGAGGTAAGCGTAATCATGCGTGTGATATTTTCGTATTACGCCTAAAAAGATAATTAATACGCCGTTCCTTCACAATGGCCACTCAGCAGGCCTAATTGTTTTCACATTCTCTCATCTAACAGTTCACGAACGAACGCAGTTTCGCGCCCGCTAATAGTTTGAATTTTTTATTTCAGCTTTCGCAGGAGAATGGTGTAGACGTTCTCCGTGGCGGGCCGTCCCGGCCATCTTTCTTTTCATACGTGGACGTCGAAGGCCGCCCCAACGTCAAGCTCTCCCGGAGAAAGATCCTGTGGATTTGCTTCTCCCTGACAAAGGGGTACTCGAGTGTCCAGACGGCAGAAGCCGTGCAAGACGTCTTCCCGATGGGAAATGACGTCCTGTGCGATTGGAAGAACTTCATTAGGGAAGCCGTCGCCGACGAGATGGCGAGTCGGCCCCCACTGGGAGGGGTCGGCCAGGTCGTCCAAGTGGACGAGTCCCTCTTCCGGGGCAAGCGGAAGTATAACCGCGGACGGCTTCTGGCGGGCGACAACGTGCCTGGTTGCAGCAGCGACCACTACCGCGGGACCGAGGAGAAGGGTCCTTGGATTGTCGGCCTGATCTCAGAATCTACGGGAGAGCTTCGCCTGTTCGAAGTGAAGAAAAGGAACCGGAGGACCCTGCACGCCATTGTAGCCAAGAACGTCTACCCGGGAACCACTGTAGTCACGGACAAGTGGAAGGGCTACGATGGCCTGTGGACAGTTCACGATGACCTGGGGCACATGGTACTCAACCATCTCACCGTGAACCACAGCGAAAACTTCGTGGACCCCGAAACCGGCGCTCACACCCAGAAGATCGAGTCCGCCTGGACTGCCCTAAAACAAGACCTCCTCAAGAGAGGCAAGGGGACAAGCAAGACTCTGCTACCGTCGCACCTGACCTGGTACTGGTGGAACTCCATCAACGGCCGAACCAGGTGCAGGGACCCCTTCCTCAGGCTTCTGGAAGCCATCGACCGGAAGTATCCGTGTGCCTGAACACGCTCAGCAAACGGCCCTTTTTAGGGCCACCCACTCCAGTTCAAAAGTCAGATTTGGGGGTTTTACGTGCCAAACCTACGGCGGGCATCTGGCACGCCCCAGCGGAGGACTGAGGATTAATTTCGACCACTTCGGGATCTTTCGACGTGCAACCGAAAGCTCGGTTACACGGCGCCTTCTCCGCAATAAGCCTCCGTCATATTGCGGTCACCTCGGTCGGAATTCGAACCCGCCACCTGGGGATCCGTAGGCCGGCGCTCTCGCCTCGGAGCCGCCGAGGCGGCTGCCCACTCCAGATCAAGCAGTCCTCCAAATAAACCTTGGGGTTTATTCGCAAGCACTTATTGAAGCACGCTTCTTTTTTTATTACGGGTCATCTAAACGAATTCCTGCGTACGCGGCGCGAGCACGTTTTTACGGCGACATTAGAAAACGCGCATACGACGCCAGCGCCTCAAAGCAGGAGGCGGAATATCTAAACGGGTGGCGCGAGCGCAACGGGAACAAGCGTCGTCGACGGCAAGGGTAGCGCGCTGGTACCGCCAGTACCGCGACGACACCAGCGACCGGACGCTGGCGGCGGAGAAAACGCGCTACGCTCCCCCACAGGCCTCCTCCTCCCCCCCTCCCCCTCTATTTATATCCTCTCTCTCTGTTCACGCATTTCCTCCTCCGCCTCCTTCCCTTCTCTTCGTTGCAATCTTCACCCTTTCCCTCAACACCCGCCGGACTAGCGATAGTCTGGCAACTATGGTCAGCGGGCAACCTGGGTCGGCGAATTTGGGTACGCCAGACGGAGGAAACATTTTAGTTAATTTGCTAATTACCTAATTTCACATATTTTCTAGAGGCCGCCATGGCCATTAACACTTCCCCAGGGCTCAAATTACTCTATCTCAAGTTCCCTTTTTGAAAATTTGTTGCAACTAAAAAAAAACACCCTGTATACGTCCCAAGTGTAAAATAGACTTGCTAATGGAGCAGCGATTTGAAGACACTTAACTTTTTCATTACCATGCAACGTCTAGGCTCCTATGAAAGCTGCACGCAGAAGTTGGTAGCTTGGCGTTAATTGGAGAGTTTGGCCGGGCCAGCTGTATTGATGGCGCAAGCTTACAAAGGTTACAGCCTCTATCGTCCATCATCCATGATCTCCCACCCTTTTTGCTTCCAACGTATCATGCCCGTTTTTCCTAATTATCGAGCAAGTGAGCCTGTGAATGGTTCATGTGCTCCCCAGTTGAGTAGTGGGGAGCTGCACAACTGGAGATTTTAATAGATGCTAACTTGTCATCTCTCTCTCTCTCTATTTTTTCAGGCCACATCTGTGCACTTTTCAAGGTCGATGCAGCAAAGATCAAGCACAGCCTATCAAGCATGCTGAGTGTAGTATTTCAATTTTTTTATGCAAGTAGTTCTCGCCACGCTAACCAGATAGCGCCACCGTTGCACCATTGCCCGTGTTATCGGGGTAGCGTCCCCGTGGCGCTCAACCCCCACGTTGTTGACCGTTAAATAAATCAGTTACGATCCAGCCACCGTCTTCGCCGGACGTCCGTCTCTCTCCGTCCGGGGCTCCCGCGCCCGGCCCCGCCGGCGCCCGCCGTTCACCTCTTCGGCATGTAAGACCCCTCGTTTTCCGCAGGCCCACGCAGGCCCTGCTCTTCTTTATTTTCACGGGTGTCCGCATTTTCTTTAATACAACATTCTGGCGACGAGGATGTTTTCCCCCGCATTTTCGAACCCCCGCGCCCCCTGAGGCTTCGTTTCGCCGCTTTTCGTCGCGGCTCTACTCTTTTCAGTATCGTTTTTGAGAGCGTCCGAGCGGTTGGTGGGTCGTACTCCGCGTCTAGACGGGACGTGTAACTTTTTTTTCGTTCTCGCGTCATCTTTGACGTTCGGAATGGCGTTGTGCAAAGTTCCCGCCAATTTTCTCAACACGCCCGGTGAGCCGGTAGCGCCGTGGCAAACTTGGAAGCGCGGCTTCCTCAACTACCTCGAGGCGATCGACGCCGAGGATTTTCCGCCGAAACGCAAGAGGGCGCTTTTATTTTCATTTCTCGGCGATGAAGGCAATCGCGTCGTTGATGCGTTCAACCTGGCAGGTCCGTCCGTTAGCTCGACTCAGGATGAGTTTCAGGTCTTGTTGTCCGCTCTGGACTCCCATTTCGGTTCCGCTCCAAATATCATTGTTGAGCGTAGGAAGTTCGTCAACCGAGTACAAGGTCCAGGCGAGACCGTTCTCGAGTACCTTGGGGCGCTCAGACGCCTAGCTTCTTTTTGCGATTACGGCGAGGCTTTAGAGAGCCGCGTCGCGGAAATGTTTATTTCGGGGATCCACAGCACAGAAGTGCAGGATCGTTTAATCCGAGAGTCCGACGGAGCAAACGCACCTAGCCTCGATCGTGCTGTCCAACTAGCGCAGCAGTTCGAGCGGGCTTCTCGAGATTGCGATCTCTTTCGGTGTCCAAACGCGTCGCACGTGGTACAGCGTGTCCAAGATGGCCGCGATCTTCAACCGTTGAGCGGTCAGCATGCCCAAGATGGCGAGGCATCATCTTCCCGGAGGAACCAGCATCCTCCTCTCCCGTCTTCCCCAAGACGTGACCGTCCTTCTCCGCCTCGTTCTCCTCCTTCCCCGTCGGCTCGCGAGTTGAGACAGTTGAGATCTCCCCTGTCTCCACCACAGTTTATCATACACAGTTTGCCCACTGTAGAATAAGCCTGTGGTAATCGCAAACCACGTGATCGAGGGCCTTGTGTGAATAAAAGTACATTGTAGAACTAAACTCATTACATATTACTCACACAATATTAATTATATTGATAACCTAATAATTTAAAAAGAGCGAAAGTTCCTTAAACAATTATTTAAACTCGTAAAAGCGCCCTCTCACCACGGATGGGGTAACTAACCACATTTTATGCTTCGTTTTTATTGTTTTGCTTTTCAAGATGGCGGCCCCCATGGCATTTTGTGTACCCGGTTCTCGCGTCCGCTTGCGTTGCGCTTTCGCTTTTGTTGTGACGTGCGCACCACTGGACGACAATCACAGGTAATTTATTCACACAAGAGTTATTTCAAGCAGGCAAATGTTTATTTTCGCTCTACATAGTACAATTTATAAAACGTTACAAACAGCACATGCAATGATGCGGTTGCTGACGGGTATTATCGAACATACACGGTAATACAAACAGTTTGAATGTTAGCCTTCAAGCTATGTGCATAAACAATGATAAACCCAAGATCAACAAACATAGTCTAAACACGTAGAGGTAAAGTCGCGGTAAAGGTATTTCAAAACAGCTTTTCATAAACCATGCGAAAAAAAAAAAAAACTGAACAGACGCGACAGTTTTACATAACGAGTGCGATTACAAACCAGTTGCTTTAACAGTAACTACAGGCTAATGTGGTAAAGAATAAAGCTGTGCTTGGAGGTGCATTTGACCTGCCTGTCCTTTCCCCCCCAAGATGAATGTTCAACACACCTGGGGGGTATGTTCGACGACAAATGTTTCGTTTCTCCTAAAAAGAAACGGAAGTAATGGAAGTGAAGATATTGCGTCTGATTGGTTAGAGGCTCAAATGATGAAAGTTCCCGCTTTCGTCATTTGAGCCTCTAACTAATCAGACGCAATATCGTCACTTCCATCACTTCCTTTCTTAGGAGAAACAAGACATTTGTCGAACATTGCCCCCCTGGTCAGTTTTCTATATGTTGGATCTAGCCAGTCAATTTTTTCAGCACAATGTTAAGCTGTTAGGTTCGATGACAGCGCGCCTTTACAACTCTCCGTCTCCTGATCTGCCTAATGGGGCTACTGGCCCTTCGACAAAAATATCACCTATCATCGACAAACCGTAAGCACCTAGAATGCCACTTTCTGACTGCAGCATCACCATTGAAAATTGTAATCCATGGAAGCAACCTCCTGGCTCAGCATTCTTCACTCATCGCCCTCGCCAACCTCACCTAATTTCGTTATTGCTGATCACTGGTGAAGCACACCCGCCAGCAATATGAAAGTGAACACCTTACCTGGATTCTTGCCCGTTTTACGGCTCCCTAAAGCTATACTGACTCTCAACGTATCAAATAGTACGTGGCTTGGGGGTCTAAACTTTGCGTTCTAGCCTTCTTCTGGAACAGAGCTTGTTCCAAAACTTGCAGGAGCGTCAAAAACAAGAAGAGGGCTGTTCACCTTCATATCGCTCACGGGTGTACCTTCAAACTCCGGCTCACGTCCCACCTGCCCTTGCTGTTTCCTGTCTGTCGACAATGTCGCCACTCTCCAATGTGACATTTATCATTTGTGGTTCCACCAGAAATGTGAAGATATATCTCTCGCTTTGTATAGACGCCTCTCCTCATTATCAACCGAGTGGCTCTGTGCGGCGTGCCAGCTCCCACCCCTGGCCGATGACCTCTTTCCATCCCCTAAGCAGCACAGAGCCCCTGTGTACCCCACCATCATCGCCAACTCTACCAAGTAGTTGGTAGAGTTGGCGATGTCCGACCTGCCGATGTCCGACCCGCCTACGGCGAGCGACATCGGCAGCATTCACCGTTCGCATGACAACTCCGCGTTTGGCATAGTTGTCGTGTGAAAAATGCGCGATCGGAGTCTACAGACTCCAATCCCGTTTGGTTTTCCAACATTTGCTTGCTTAAAAACAACCTTCCTGACTTTAAAGCGCTGAAGTAATCTTTCCCGAATACAATATTTGCTGTGTGCGAGACATGGCTGGACGCCTGTCTTTGGTGGGCAATTAATGGGGAATTGATCAATCTCGCACAATTCTCTTTATTCCAGCAAAACTGTCCCTCCTTGGGGCGAAGGAGTCCGTCCTCGCCATGCCATAACACCTGCCCTGCCAACGTCTCGACCACCTCACCCCTTCGGGTCTAGAAGCCATCTTTGTCGAGGCATTTTGTAAACATGGAAAGCTTCTTCTGGTGTCTATACCTACTGCCCACCCTCCCTCCATGAACAATCGTACGCCCTCCTCCAAAAGAGCCTACAGCGCGTCGACCCCAGCAAGTTCTCTGCACTGTTCATCTGATCCACTTGATGACATGCTG